AGTCATATATTCACCGTCCTTTTTATTATGCAATTTTTCGTTATTTGAAACCCCACCCTGGCTTTTGCCGGGGGCCGCAATATAGCCCGGCCATAAATATGGCCTAATGGCTGAACGCGGTTTCTGGGACCTCTCCACGGTGATCCTCACCCACATGGTGGCACATTGTGTCATCGGGTGTTTATCGCTTGTGTGATGTCCTGGTTGTGGTAAAAAGTCAGTCAGTCAGTCAGTATGTGGTTGCTGACGCCTACACTTTCGCAGCATGTTGAGAGGGTGGCCCTTCTTATAAATTGTCCTGATAGACTAAAGGGAAAAGAAGTTAGGGGTAGCACTATTCAACGCGGCCCGCGGACCAGATCTGGCATGTGGAGGCCTAGCAAGTGGCCCGTGGATCATTACCAGTTGTATTGTAATAATGATTTTTTTATGATGGGACTTAGGCTTCTGTCCTACGACGATCCCCGTTTTCCTTGATTTTGACCCCTGGGTAAACTTAGTGGAATAGCAATGGGTTAGGATATAAGTCTTGTTCAAGTAATTAATAATAGTAAGAACAATATGAGTTTTCAGTCTTGTGGTACGCAACGGCAGATGTCTGGATCAACGCCTTCTACAGGTTTTTGTGTGTGTGTGTGTGTTTTTTTATACAATGGGTCAACATCACGGCACATGGGTGTAACCCGTAAGTGCTCAGTTCTACTTCTAACTCAAGCCTGTCTGAAGAATCTCAGCGCAGTGCATGCACTCCGTTGCACCGGCGAGGATCCTGAAATACTTTTGGTAGATTTTAAACTCAAAATTTTGCTAGGCAGCGCCGTTAGGCTACTCTTTTTCGATTTCCAACTTTGCATGGCCAACAAAACACACGGGCATTCGGTTTTACTACTCAGAGACCAGCGGGAATTGCTAGAAATCCACATGAAAAAAATCCTAGCCTTCAGCGGGTTTTAAACGTGGATAGTCGACACAGCTGCGGAGTTTGTTTTGTCCGACGCTCTTGGTAGGCGAATAGGTGAACCGCCGTTCTACCGAGAGAGAGAGAGAGAGAGAGAGAGAGAGAGAGAGAGAGAGAGAGAGAGAGAGAGAGAGAGAGAAAAAGAGAGTCCTAAAAGTCGACTCATTAGGAGGTTTTCCCCCCCAAATCAGATGTGTTAGGTTGATAAGCGCAGATATCGTAACCTGGCTGTAAAGCAGAACATGACATGCAAACCGCCATTTCATTAAGCAAACTGCGATAATACTTGCAACTTCCCACGGGAAAACTGGGCTTGTAACTTAACCTGTCCACAATTTCTACCTTTTACCTGGCGGCAGGTATCAAGTTCACCCTGATACTTGACCCTTGATTGTCCTGTCCGTTAAGAGCGTCCTATTGTACGGTTTCCACCCTTTGTCCAAGTGGAAGTAAAGACGACTCTAGTTTTTCAACAGGCTTTGTGACTTCTGTGTTTTTCTGACTGGTTTTACTGTGGGAACATTTTGGTGTGGATTCAAATATTTTTCTCACAGAAGGTAAAATTCAGGGACAAACGTTTGTATTCCTATTTGTCTCCTCCTCTTCCTATTCTTCAACTGCTTCTTTACTTTTTCCTCCTCCTCTTTTACCTTCTTCTCCTCTACGCCTGCTTCTTCCTGTTCTTCTTCCTCTTTCTTTCTTTTTCTTTCTTTCTTTTTTTTCTGTCTGTCTGTCTGTCTGTCGTCGTCTTATTCTTCTTTTTTTTCCTGCTCCTCCTCCTCCTCGCTTCCCCCCCCCCCCCACTCCTCTTCTTCGTAACTGCAACAGTAATTTCAAGTGTTACAATAGTTTTCCATGTAGCAATACCTACAACTGTAGAAACAGATCTCGCTATCAAAATATATTGTTTTTACTATAGAGATACGTGTACTCGTAACTGAGGCACTTTTGAAATCTTTACTTACTACTTCCAACACTGCAACTATGCCTTCAACAGTAGCAATATAACAATACCCTGAAAGGTGAGAAAACATCCTCGAAGATGACTGTAAACGGCGAGATTGGAGGCTTGAACGACGAATCAACATCAAGGCACACGAGTAGTAACCCATAAGTGCTCCGTTTTTCTTCTAACTCAAGTCTGAGTCCAAAGAAGCTCAGCACAGTGTACATGCTCTGTAACACCGGCGAGGATCCTTAAATACTTTTCGTAGATTTTTAACTCTAAATTTTGCCTCTGGCAGCGCCGTTAGGCTACCTTTTTTCGATTTCCAACTGCAAAGGGATTTTTTTTTAATGTGCGCTACAATGAACACGGGCGTCCGATCTCACCACCCAGAGACCAGGGGAAATTACTAGAAGTCCAAGTCCACGTGAAAAGATCCCAGCCCTTACAGGGGATTGATCCCGAAACCTCTAGTACTCGAGGCGGACATCATGCCTCGAGACCACGCAGCCCCCTGTAAACGGTGAATGTACGTGTTATGTCAAATTCACACGGTTTCTGGGAAAATGAAACTCACATGACGTGCGCTCACGTGTGCGCGTTCGCACACGTTGTCTGGAGTGGCGTGGTGAGATTACGTCTAGATATCACGTGTAGCCTGGCGCCTTCAACTTTTCTTGCCACAAACTGTTATTACTTAAAAAAATAAAATAAGCTAGATCCTGTCAGATTTAAAGTGAAAACAACCATTGCAATAAGGTTAGTTGCGTATACTTTGCAGGACGTTGCAGAACCAACCCCAACAGCCCCTGGCCGTTGTGTGGTTTTTCTAGGCAAATTTACGTCCAGTAGTTTGCCATTGCTTCCTGGGCGGTCGGCTTACTTGATACCACTGTCGAAATCAACGATAGGCCCATGGCTGGGATCAACCCGGCATCCCGGCATTACAAAGCGTTCGCATCGACTTAGCCACAGAGCCGACAACCATTGCAATACTATTTGAGAAAACAGTCACCAACTGCAGTTACAAACGGCCATTGTAATATTATTGGAGAAAACAGCCATTGTAATATTATTTAAGAAAACAGCCATTGTAATATTATTGGAGAAAACAGCCATTGTAATATTATCGGAGAAAACAGCCATTGTAATATTATTGGAGAAAACAGCCATTGTAATATTATTCGAGAAAACAGCCTTTGTAATATTATTGGAGAAAACAGTCATACTATTTGCGAAAACATAAATGGGTGAAAGTCTGAGAACTAAGTTAGGGTAATTATAATTGTGTGAGAAAACAGTCAGTGCAAAAACTGAGTGAACAGTCAGTGTAGTGACTTTTTGAGTGAACAGTCAGGGTAATGACTATTTGAGTTAATAGTCAGGATAATAATTGCTTAGAAAGCAGTCAGGGTAATAACTGAAGGGACAGTCGGGGAAGTAACTATCTGAGTGAAAAGTCAGGGTAATAATTGTCTGAGTGAACAGTCGGGGTAATACCTGCCTGAGAAAACAGACAGGGTAATAACTGTCTGAGAAAACAGTCAGGGTAATAACTGTCTAAATAAACAGTCAGGGTAATAACTGTCTGAGAAAACAGTCAGGGTAATAACTTAGAGCCATATAGCACAGTTATATTGGGGCACCACAAAAAGGTAACGAAGTAACTTGTAGTCCCGTGTGGGAGGGTTCCTGTCACAACCACCCTGCAGCTGTTCTACAAGAAACTGTGATTTCTGTCATCTGAACTGGTACAAACTCAACGTTGCCATTTCACATACAGTGTTTGGGCAAATCAACTAAACTAGGTTATGAATATGGAATATCCTAAACCCCCAAATCACGACACGCCCTGAAAATTGGACACGGATGGCTGTGAGATTAGCATGCTTGGTTGATTCGCTGAAGCTTATTTCGCATAACTGGGAAATCTGTGCGACAGCAGTCGTGTCCGCTGTCCTGATTTATAGCCAAGCGTTGGATTCAGTTGTGTGACCTGTTCTCATAGTTTATGACTGTGAGACGGGACTTTTTTCAAACACATTCTGTCAGTGGTGTGTTCTGCGTGAACGGTTGGTGTGTTAGGTTTCTGGTGTCTATAGCTAGCTAATATACGTCTTTAAATTATTATTACCATCGATACAAATGTACTAAAAATTCTGAGGTACATGACCATTGTGGCATTCCGTCGTTTTAGTTTTTTTTTTTTTTTTTTACTTGATAATTTTTTGCGTAAATCAAACATCTATTCTTGCGTTAGATGATCACTTTGACATTCCGTCGTTTTAATGTGTATGTTTACTTAATTCTCGATGTTTAAGTAAAGATATACGAATACTTATGAGGTAGATGATGACTGTGATGTTTTGTTCGTCTTTGCTTATCAGCACCTTAATTAAATTAAGGCATAAAAACCCTTGGTCAATACATAATGGACATGATCAGTCTACGATTGTGGAGCCATTTAGGAATAGATCAAAGCACTTATTGGTCTGTCCGGAGAGTTTTGACGAGTCTCCTTCTGATCACTAGTTACTTATGTGTTACGGTTTCCTACAGTAGATGACCCGTGTGGATTTCCATACTTATAGTGCATAACTTTACTTATCAACGTTTGCAGTTTTCTGTCATGACAATTACAATAGTTTACTTTTAATAAAAATAGTTTAATTTACATCGACTTCAAAATATTTTTGTGATAGTTACCATAATGGCGCACCATAACTGAGTTAATTATTATTTTACTTAATTTACTTTTTCTGAACATCCGAACTTATTATTTTGTGACTTACTCTTTTGATATTTGTTATTCTTGTTGTTGTTAGTTTTATGTTTATACTTTTATTAAGTTCGGTTTTGTTTGTCTGTCTGGTACAATCCTTGCGTGTGATTGTGTCTGTGAGTATGTGTGTGTTTGTAGTTTTTACCTTGATAAACATAAACATGTGGGTTTTCCCTTCCTAATAGTCCTTCATAGTTAATGAACATAATGGGTAAACAACTATGCAGATCGGACTGGTTATTTGTTACTGAAAGTGAATTGGGCACATAGTAATTCCTACTGGAATATTGTCCGTGTGTTTTTAAAAGTCCACAATGTCACAACATATTTTGCACCAACCGAGTTTTAAGCTGGATCTGCGACCTTTTAAGAGACTGTCGCTGCTGATGAGAAAGGTAAGATTTCGCCTTTGTTTCCTTATTATATTTAATAATTTTCTCGTCTTTACTTTTTTTTAACCCTTTCAACGCCTTTCATAGCAAGCGCCATAGCGGATTAGGAAAATAAAATAATAGCAGAAGGCATGGTACCAGGAAGGAGGGGCAGGAGCCGACCAACACGAAGATGGGCACAAGATATAAGAATCTCCTTTAATATAAAAGTGCATGCAGCAACTTCACGCTGACATAAAGGAAATGCCTACAAAGGAAAATTGGAATACAAGGGGCAACCAAACACCACAAAGAAAAAAGTACGACTAAGAGTCAGAAAATCAACACGGACTCGATATAGTCGCCGCTCAACCAAGGAGCAGATTGAAGGAATCGTGGAGTTTTAGCATTTTTGTTTCCAAATATCTAATCCAATCCAATAAAAGTGCATGAGGTGGGAGAGCTGGCGAGAGATCAAGCTTCTTTCAGGCAGACCGTGACGAGAGCGACGTTTTGCAAAGGACCTGTATGATGATGATGACACACATAAAAAAAACGAAGTTAAGGGTTTGTTGGAATCCGATGTCTTGGACCGAAAGGGGCAAATATCGCAGCCTAGCTTTAAACCACAATACAACGTATCACTAGCTCTTTTAATAGTTCAGAAATGACTAACAAACTAGAAAGTTCCCAGAGTAACAGCAGAGTGTGTTTTACCTGCAAGCCATGTCTGGCCAACGTCCTTCCTGTCTGCTGTCCCAAGTGTCACCTTTGTCTTGTCTAAACTCTAAACATGTGTCTGAGTGTTTATCTGTGTAGTGTGGCGTTGATTTTTGTTGCTGTTTTCTTCTTCTATTTGTTCTTCTTCTTCTTCTCTGAACTTGTTCTTCTTCTTCTTCTTGTGTTCGCTTTCTGATTTACACCGACAGACAGGTTCTTATGATAAACTTGACTGTTTTAATGAGTTCATTTTTAGTCCCATACAACTTTGTGTACAGTGGTGACTCACTGGGCCAGTATTCCTTTCTTAATGGGCTGAACAAGGGACAGTCTTGCAGGACATGTTCTGTAGTCTGCACACATAGCCCACAAGGGCAAAAAGGTGAACTACTTAGACGAAGCCTGTGCATATGCTGGTTAAGTTTGTTATGTCCTGTCCTGAGACGTAGGACAATGACCTGCCCATGCCGGTCAAGTAAGTGGGTAGTCATCTCTGGCCAGACTCTGTTCACTTCTGATAGCCTGGATGGCCCCTTTTCTTCTCATAGTATGTTACTGCATTCTCTCTTCTTGGTCACATTCTGCCCCTTTTTTTAGCAAGTTTTATCTGCGGTTTTCGTTTTCCTGGTATACCACAGTGGGATGGCACCCACTGGAGTACAGTACACTTTTGGGCAGCCACCTTGCCAAGTTTAGATCTCAAGTGAGGGAGTTTTGCCACTCTTGAGGGCTTGAAGCACTGAAAGCGCATCTGTGAATATAACCACTTGGTGGCAGTCAGAACTGGTGTTGTGTAACATTTCGGCAGCCTGCTCTAGTGCTACAATCTCTGCTGTGTAGTTGGAACAGAATTTTACCAGTGGGTATCCACTTTGTGTGGCGGTGGTTGCCTGGGTATGTAATAAAGACTCCAGCACCCCCATTTTTAACCGCGCTGGTTGCTGATCCATCTGTGTAAATATGTATCCATGACTGTTCGGGATAGTTTTTCATGAATCATGCTAAGAGCAGCTGTTCGTTTTTGAAGATCATTGGACTCATCTCCAGTTGTGAATCCATTGACTGAAGTCATTATCTGTATTGTATCACTGACTTGCTCCCAAGGTACAGGGTATAGGGTAGGTTTCAGCGGTGTTGTTCTAATAGGTAGATCAGCTTGGTACTGTCTTCTAAGTCTTTTCCCCCGATGGACAAAGCTGCTACGTTTGAGACGCCCTAATGCCAGATCATCTAACCTTTTATTCATTGGGTGTGACTGCATACTATTAAACTTCTCCATCTGGATCATAGTTTTAGTGTCTCTTCTATAGGACAATGTCTGCATTGCAGTTATTTTCTGCATCTTCAGGATTGGTGCAGTTTTCATGGATCCTGTGATGAGTCTAAGAGCTTGATTTTGCACTCTGTCTAACGATTGTAGGTGGGAATTAGCAGCTGTTGACCATGCTGTTGCACCAAACTCCAAGTGGGGTCTTATCGCTCCATTATAAACTTTCTTTAGGGTTTTTCCATTTGCTCCCCATCCTGTACCTGCCAATTTTCTAAGTAGGCCTAGTCGTCTCCTGGCCTTCCCTTCTACATTTTCTATATGTTTGCTCCATGTGAGCCTTTTATCAAATGTTACTCCAAGATAAGTGGGGAAGCTTTCTTCCTTTAGCAAGGATGTTTCCTAGGTGAATACTAGCAGCTTTGTCCCTGGTGGAAAGAGAGAAAAGCGTTGTGGATGTTTTGTCTGTGTTGATGGCAACATGCCATTTTTTCTGCCCATGTCATCAAGAGATCTGCTGCTCGCTGCATTCTTATATTTGCCACTGTGGTGTGTTCATCGGTACACCAGAGTGCCAGATCATCTGCATACAGGGCAGCTTTTACTCCTGTAGGGAGGGTCTTTCACCAGATCATTTATATACACAAGAAAGAGAGTTGGAGAGATAACTCCTCCCTGTGGTACTCCTTGCCGAAGTAACACTTTTCTACTCTGCTGGCCATCAAGACTGACTCTAGTTCTTCTGCTGTGTAAGAAGGATTGGATCCATTTTAGCATGTTTCCTTGGATTCCATTTCTCTTCAGTTTTGCAATGAGACCATCTTTCCAGACTTTGTCAAAAGCTTGTTTGAAGTCAACCCATACCGCCAGGACCTTTTTCTTCTCTTGGAAGGCATCCTCTACAGCTTGTGACAGGTAGGTGACTTGATCTTCTATGCTGTGACATTCCCTAAACCCAGCCTGCTCTGGCACCAAGATCTGCTCAGATTCTAAGTGCCATTTCAGTCTTGAATTTACAATTCTTTCCAATGTCTTTCCTACACAGCTTGTGAGACTAATTGGGCGATAGCTCGAAGCCTGTGTCTTAATTTTTCCTTTTTTTAAAATGGGTATTGTGATGGCTTCTCTCCATACTTGAGGCACTAAACCTTTCTCCAAGCTGATGTTGAAAATTTCCAGCAGCTTTACTTTAGCAGATGAGGTCAGGTTGATTAGCATTTCGTTGCTGATTTCATCCGGACCTGCAGACTTTTTTAACTTAAGCCTAAAGATGGCATTTTGTAGTTCACCCATGGTAAATGGCTCCCTCATAGAGGCAGGAGTATCTGTCTGTCTCTTATTTGTTTGTTTGCTTGTTTGTATTTCTTTCCTTATTTCTCTCTGATGGTCCTCATTAAGGGTCAGGTTGCTTTCAACACTGAATGTTTTTGGCAAACAAATCTGCAGCTTGTTTTTCCTCTGAAGATTTTGTCACCATCACTTAGCGTGATTGTTTGTCTAGGCGAGAAACTCTCTTCATTGAGTGATTTGGCTAATCTCCAGAGTTTCTTGCCATCTTTATCAAGGTTTAGAGCTGCTGTTTTATTTCTCCAGCTTTCCCGTTTTTCTTCAAGTTTAGTTCTCTGGAACACTGCTACAGCCCTTTTCCATTTGATGTGGTTGTCAGGTGAAGGTTGGGATTCTGCATCCTTTCTAGTCTGATTCATTGTTTCCTGGCATTCCTGGAGTGTGCTGGACCAGTACGGTCTATAGTTGCGTCGACAGCCTCTGGGGATTGCTTCTTTTGCAGCTTGTAGAATACTTCTATTGAAATCGTGCACTATAGCATTGATATCCCTATTTTGTACCTTGAGAGCAGACAACAATGTGCTTGTCCTGTGTCTGTACAGGCCCCAGTTGGCTTTCTTGTAGTTCCATCTTGTGATGACTGGGCCTGTATTAACTGGTACATTCTGGACAGTGAGAAAAATCGGGCGATGGTCACTGCCCCCAAGCTGGTCTCCCACCTCTCTCCTTATCATTCCAGATATATCTGGGGTAGAGAAGGCAAGATCTGGGGTCGACGTTGTCTGCCACCTTCTGGAGTAGAAGGTAGGCGTATCTGAGGGGGCATTTATCAGGATCAGAGAGTGGTCATCTTGCCATGTTTCCACCTCTTCACCCCTATTGTCGAGATGGTTATAGCCCCAGCTCTGTGAATGACTGTTGAAGTCTCCAACTGCAATAAAGTTGGTGTTTGGTACTGGCACAGAGCTGAGGTTTAGCGATTTGTCATTGGGACAGTAGTAATTAAGGAGTTCTAATTCCACTTTGTCTGTCTTAAGCTGCAGGAGTTGGTACTCAGCTCCATCTATATAAGACATTTTCTCGCATGGATGGATACTGTTTTTCACAAGGGTGAGTACTCCTCCTTTTCGCCTGCCTTGTCTGTCAGATCTGAAGCACTGGTAGCCTCTCACTTTAAATATCTGATCTGCCTGCAAATGGGTCTCTTGGATGCAGCATACACTGACATGCTTTTCATAGAGGATGTTTTCCAGCTCCAACTTTTTGCTGTAGCCAGCCTGCTTACTGCTGACCCCCTCTGCATTCCAGTGCATAATGACAAAAGGCAATTTGGGATCTTTTCTGTCTAACTGGTTTTGGTCAGTAGCTATCCTCCGCCGTCTCCTGACTCCACAAGACGGTCTAGGAGGTCCTCCAGTAGCTGGGGGTGGATTCTGTCGAGGCTCAGAACCCGGCACTGCACCTGCCTGGTGGAGTTCCACAGGGCGAGCACCAACATTAAATTTGTCTGACGGTGTAAACATATATATAGCGTGGGGTTGCGTAGTACTGTGGTTTTTGATCCGCCTTCTGGCCCAGTATTTCCGACTTCAGGATCTCTTGGGAGGGAGAGTAGGCTCATCCCTTCGCCTTTACCTCGTTTGTTGTCCCATCCAGTTTCCCGCTGGGGGTTAAGACCCCAACCTTCAACTGGATTGCTGGGAAGAACAGGGTCCACCACGTGAAGGTGAGGTAGGCTTGAGCAAGAGAG